ATCCCTACCAGGGGTACACATATCACTAGTGATATGTGTGCGGGGGTACACATATCACGGGGGTACACATATCACTGTGACAGCGGGAGACGGCGTAGTCGGCCCAGTCTCTTTCGGTTGCATCAGCCGTACCAGAGCCTCGCCGTACTGGATCTTAAAGTCCCTAATTTCGAGCGAATCGGGTGCACCCGACACTCTAATCCGAGGAGGACTGGGCTGATCATGGGTTTCCGCTTGGCGTTGGCGTTGTATGATATCATTCACAAAGAATACAACGGACGTTCCTTGAATGTTTCTTTAGTTGAATTTTGGAAAAGTGAACATCTAAATCAATTAAGGCTAGTGAGAGGATGATGAATCTTTTTAGATCTGAGGTTTATCGATGGGTCTTAGCGACTCTTTTACTCTGTTCCGCAATTGAGAAGTCAGGTAAGGACATAGTTTAGTTTGCTATTTAAGATTTAACCCACGACTGTTCTAAAAGAATTCGACATACCCAAACGAATCCTTAAATTTTCTCACCTCGAAAGGTTAACGTTACGCGTGATGTGTTGAAATGTAGTTTTATTTTGTCTGTTTTCCTTTACAGAATCATTTGAAATCAGCAGCAGACCTCCTTCCAATCCTGTTATTGTGATTTTAGGCGACGAAGCCAAACTTGAGTGGCAGTTTTCTGACGCACCAAGTAGCTATTTCGTTCAGTTTTGGAGACAGAAACCCGGTGAAAAGTTGAAACAAATAGCAACAAGCAAGAATGGGAACGCGTTCAATCCGAGCGACACAACTGAATTCAAGGCCTCCCTCCCAGCAAAACTAACACTGAAGAACGTACAGAGAAATGAGGAATACACCTACTCTATAATTCTACTTGATTCTAATGCGGTTGAGGTAGAGCGAGATACAGTTACTATTGATGTGGTTGGTAAGTGATGCTGTTTCATGAGATTCCTCAATACACTTTGTTTTATCGTACACTTCTTGCGTCTTAGTTATTTCATGTCAAAAATATCTTGACTAAAAATTTTATATCAAAGGCTGTCGCTTTCAGTCTTTTTGCGTAAATGACTTTTATTGAACTTTCGTTGCAGGGAACGATAAGCTTATTCACAATACTGTCGAACGACACGGTTTCGACTGAACGCAGTTGCACTTTCGTGTTTCAAATGGGTTGTTACTTTTCAGTCATGTTTGTTCAAGTTATTCTTTCATGTACGCTAGGAATGGCTGAAATCCTTGTGAATTAATCGTTATGTGACAGTTAAGTTTTCTGTCGCTTGAAGTTGTTTTTCTTTGATGAAGATTGATGAAGATTGATAATTCAGCTCAAGCTTGGGTTATGTAAATTAATGTGAATTGTGCAACCAATATACCTGTATAGAGTACGTGCACGATTTTCTTCTTGCTTTTCTAGAAAGAAACAAAGCTGAGCTGAAATTGGATATCCTGCATGATGCTTTTTGCCTTGGAAAGTTTTTTTTATTTAATTCAAGCCTTAAGGAGATTACACCAACTTTGTAGTTTATTGTTTTCTTTGCAAAAGTACTTTTTTCCCAATAACATGCATACATCTCAAGATCTGACTAAAAGTTTTGGAAAATAACAGATAAAGCAATGGACTTAATTTGATTGTCAAAATAAAGTAGAAATAGGGTACTTTTTATACTTCTTTTATTCTCTTTTTTATACTGTAGGTAATGATTGTGAATTAAAGACAGTTGGAATAATATTAAGGAGTGAAACGTGGAAGTCAGCCTTGAATAACCAACAGTCAGTGGAGTTCAAAACATTGCGGGCAAATGTGTTATCAGAAGTAAGTATTTTGCCAGAATGAGTACAATGGGTGACCATGCCAGGTTGAGAAACTTGTTTTTACATTTACCAGTACATATTTTGGTTTTGTCATACAGGGGTTATTTGTAATTTTTTTATGTTTGGATACAGATACACCTCATTACATTCATGTAATTCCTCTTGTCCAGTACTGTTTGGGCTGACAAAGCCTCCTTTTAATTCATTGAAGGTAGCTGCCAAATACAAACCTTCGTATTATAAAAGCTGACGTTTCGAGCGATAGCCCTTCGTCGGAGCGAATAGAGGAATTGTGGGTAGTGTGTACTTTTAAAGGCAGAAAATGGAGCTACGTTATTGTTTTTCCAAATTTAGTCTGGGGAAGTGAATCATTTAAACATGGCCCTAAATTTTATTCGGCACCAATGGTGGTGTGTACTTGAAATATAATAGTGTAAATTTGGTAAAATTGAAGATGAGCTCCCCAAAATATCTGTTAGCCAACTGTTGGCCGACTGTTCACCAACAGATGACCAACAGCTCACTGACAGTTCACCAACAGTTGGCCGACATAATGAAAACAAAGTGAAGGAGAAGCAAGCAAAAAATTGCCATCAGACAAGCAGACCAATGATATTTGGTGTTTTGCATACATGTAAAAGTATACTTTCTAATAATTTGTGCATTTGGGCATGTTTGTTCCAAGTAAAATAAATCAACTTTGTTCCTTTTGTTTAAGATCTCCAAGGTTTATGCAAAAAATCCTGAAAAACAACTGTACAGTGTGGCTCTTCTTGATTTCAGGTAATTGTTAATTTGAGAGTGCTCAGTGTATGCATGTTTTAACTTTTTTTGTTTGAAAGAAGAATGGAGAATTAAAGGAGCATCACACATCAGTACTCTTTGGTCATTTAGCAATTAAGAAAAGTATTAACCATTTGTTGTTGTGCAAACAGTGTTGATCTGCAAGTTTGTTTTTTTTACTAATAGATCTGGTAGTGTTGTTGCTAGAGTACAGATGAAGTTTGGAAAATCTGTTACTGACCCTTTAAAACCACTGGAAGATGGAATCAAAGATGGAAACCTTGGGGCATTCAGAGTTAACCGTGAACTTGATTTGAATCCAAGTAGGGCACGTTCTACCCGACAAGTAGACTCTGTTTTGTTGTGTATGGGAAGTTACAAACTTACATAGTCTTTGTAACCAGTATGTTTAAGATTACCTCTTGTTAAAGTGATGTTGCAGTACTTGTACTTCTCAAGTCAGAGTAAACCTCTTTATTTTCTTTATCCTTGCTTGTAAACAGCTGTCTGAATTGTAAAACTTTGTAGCAAGTGTTACAGTGTAGTCAGAGGAAATTTTTTTCCTATCAAAATCAGCTGTGTCTGTATTCTCTCAGTATTGTATGGATAGTTTACAACATGGATAAGTGATCATTGTTCCTTTATTAATACTGTACGTGTACAGTGTAAACTAGCAATTGCCTTGCAGGGGCCATGTTCTGATGCTTTTAATTAGTTATTTCTGGGTAAAAAAATACAGAAGAATCTTTTACTGATTGATCAGAAGTGTAAGGCTGGTGATATCAGTCCTGTTGGACATCTACATGTAGCTTCTGCCCATTTGTAGTTGAAGCCTTCATTTTGTTTGTTTTTTTTTTTTTTTTTTTTGTAAAGGTACTCTGGTGAGACCACCCACAGAAGTCTTAAGTATTCTAATGCTGTTTTGTATTGGATTGTGTACAATGTACATGTATGGCAAAATTGTGTCAGTTTTGATAAGATAAAATGTTTTCTCTACAGCTACTCTACCACCTACCTCCTTTTCCTCAACAACATCAGAGGAACCACAAACACCTGCAGCTGATGCTCGTTCCAGTGGATTGTCACAACTCACATTGTGGGGTATCATTGGGGGAAGCATTGCATTTGTTCTTGTAGTCGTCATTGTTATTGTAGTGTCTTGTATTTGCTGCAGGAAGAAAGGTGGTGCTTCAAAAGGTAAGCAAAACAATTTATTTTTTTACTGACAAAAATCTATAATGTAGAAGGCAGTTAAATTTTGAATCAACCTTAAGCCACACCAGGCACCCATATATTGCATATTCTCTTCCTTCATCTCAACTTGCCACTACTGTTACAACATGTACATGTAGGGATCACATGATTGATCTATTGATTTTACAACTTTTTCTTTTATGCATTCAAGGTGGTAGGAACTACAGTGAAGCTGATGGTTACCGCATGTAAGTACAGTGCAGTGTATTGTTTTGTCACTTGGCAGCAGTAGCTGGTGAGTGCAGCTGCTTATTTTGTTGTGTTCCTAGATTAGACGCTCACCATACAAGGAATGTAAATGGGTACCTGCCAAGTGCTAGGGGAACTCGACAACATTTTGTGTTTTAATTTTTTTTTTTGAATGAATGTTGTGCCCTATTTCTTTGGCTTATTGTTTAACACTGACCTAATGTAATGGTGAATTTTCTGATATTAGGAACAAGCAGCCCCCTTCAGGACTAGGCACAGCCAGTCCAGCATATGTTGAGGCCAGGCAGTATGCATCAGTTTCTGCCCCAATGAGACAGGTACTAATTTTGTGAAATGACATAACTGCTTTGTGCATTTCCCATACCAATATTATCAACACCTATATATCATTTATGTATTAAATGTCAGAGTTTACTATACTAAAGTAAATTCCCAGTTATGGGTTGTGTACCCCAGTATCAACACAGTAACCCTGCAAATGTCTCTTTACTTATACCACGAATGTAATCAATTGTGGAATGGGCACAAATTTTTGTACTGCAGTCACACCACTTTTTTCTTGCCATGTTATTGTTTGTGCTTGTGATATGTTGTAATTCCTCTATGTTACTAAGAAGCAAGCACCAAATGTTTCTCACCATGCAGTTTTTGTTTATCTATGCCGTTATTATGATAGTGTCCCCTACATATTCCACAATGCCTTGAATTATCTTTCCCTGTTGACAGCATGAGGGGCTTTTCCTGAATCAATATGTACAGTACTTTGTACATTACCCTTTGTTATAATTATTGTATACAGTCAGGGCTCAACACTATCTTTTTAACTTTCTAGCCAAGTGGCTCGGGACAGTTTAGATGTTACAACATACTATTTCGGTTTGTTGACTAGCCAAACTGGCAAGTGGAAATCGAAAACCACTAGCAGAAACTGAATTTCTACTAGTCTGTGGCTTGTAGGCTACCATTAGTGTCAAGTCCTTTTCCTCCTCTGAGAATTGATCAAGTCATTGTTTAATACCAAGAAAGAATTAAACATGACAATTCACTGAGCTCATTTAAGAGAAAATGATGATTTTCCTTTCTGGTGAACTCCTACCTAAAAAATAAAAAAAAAATGAGAAAGTAAAACAAAAAAAGTATGACATTGTGTGCTGTAAGGATTTGTAATGCAGTACCATGGAATGACCTTAAAGTTGAATTACAATGAAGTGATGAATATCACAAACGTCCTATCTACGATAATGAAGACGACTTTTTTTTTAAGTTCAAAAACGTTTTGTAATACATCAAGGAAAGTTATAGAGCCAAGGGGCCTTTCTCAAAAGTCGTGGTAACTTAATGGGACCAAAGCCATGTTTTAAAATCATAATTTAAAGGATAGGAAAGTAGGTTCTGGCACCCAAATCAGTCCTTTTTCTTTCTTTAATAGCTGATAGTTTTATGGTACCATTTTCAAAACTTTTGAAATTCCCATCTTGAATTATAACAGAACAGCTTTATGGGCCTGTCAAGTTACCAGGACTTTCAAGAAATGGGCCCCTGATCCTGTAAGCTTTTACAAAGTAATGGAGATTTATAGGTAGAATTTTCTTATATAGGATAAAGATGATTTTTTTACTTGGTATTTAACAATTATTCGCTGAAGGCGAGGTGAATATCATCAAATAATCCCCTCGACTTCGTCTCAGGGATTATTCGACAATATTCACCGAACCTGAGACAAATAATTGTTTTAGTATAATTTCAGAGCTGAACAACAGAGAAATTTCTAAAATCATAACATTTTAGTAACATTTATTAACATTTATTAACATTTTTAACATTTTATATAAACGGAGCGGTTTATAT